GTAACTTCAATTCTGTCATTCTAGGTAACCACTTACTTTTTATTTATACTGAAAATTTCTGGAATTTATTGTGAAAAGGAATTTTTATGAATCTTTGCCAAACATCCTTATGTTTAAGACTTTTCCTATTTGTATGTCTGTTGCTTCATGTGAAGGAAATTTTTTTGAAATGAAGATAAAAATAAGATAGTCTTTAATCAACTATGTGTGGAAATTGATAAATCTACCTATATTCTCTATTGGATATAAATATGCAAAGATTACTTTTGACAAATTTGCAGAAGTTAACTTTAAAAAAAGAAATTAGTGTTATTCATCAGACAGGTTAATATGTAGGTATCAGGTTTTTGCCCCTTTCTCAAAAAATACAATAATGTAACTAAGAAATACTAACCCATGACCCTTTCTTGTTTTATATCTTTAATTTTTAACTACTTTTTAATTTTTTTTTATTGAAGCATAGTTGATTTACAGTGTTCTGTTAGTTTTTGGTGTATGGCTTAGTGGTTCAGTCATACATATATTTTAACTACTTTTTTATATTGTCATGATTATATCTACAGAGTTCAATTAAAAAGAGTAATTCACTCTGAATTTCTGGCCCTTATTAGTTTCTTTTCTGTACCCTATTATTTGTTTCATTTCCTGATTATTACTGAAAATAATTTTGTCATGTGGAAGAGGACTTTTTAAAAATGATCCACTCAGGTGTCAAATATGAAAAATATGTCACTGATTCCTTCTCAGCACTAAAAAAATGAGAGATTTGCAACTTTAAAAAAATCTCAATTTGTTGATCTTTTGGGGAAAAAATGCGAAGACCTGGAATAGTGAACCCTAATTCCCTAAAGGCAAAAACCAGCTGGGAGCCATTTATCATATTATACATGGACCGAACCACTTATTTACATTGATTTTGTCAACTGGCTTAGAGTCGGGGTTTGGACTACTCTGCTCTGCAGCCCAGGCTGCCTCTGGGTAGTCGGCTAGAGGGACATTTCTGGATGCGGGTCTCTCTCTGCCCCTGCCTCCTTATTAAACACATGTTTCTTATTCATGAAATACACAATACGGATTCCGTGCTTATGTGCCAACCTCTGGAGATACAAATGTGAGTGGGAAATGGTTTCTTTCCTCCAAGAGTTTTTGGTCTGATTAGGAAGACGACACTATGTACGGCAGACAATTAAAAGACAGTGTTGAATGGAGGAAAACTACCCAAGTCGGCCTGTAGAAGTCGTGGAAGGCAAGGAGGGGGAAGGGCTGGGGTGGGTGGGGATGTGAGGCAGATGATCGGGAGACAAAAGGGTTGAAATCTCCGCCCAGCTTCTCACCTGATTACTAACTTAACCTTCCTGAACCTTAGTTTCCTTATTCTTTAAAATAATTCTGTAATATATATCATATACCTGTTAGGTCGTTTTGAACAGATTAATTTCATTCAACGAGGATTCACTGAGTGCTTACTAGCTAGCGCCAGGTGCTGTGCTAGGCTATAGAAATAGCCTGGTAAAGAAACGGCAAAGAAAGAGATATGGCCCCTGTGCTCATGGAATTTACAATCTAGCGAGTTCAGGGGTGTAACTTGCAACTTTCTAAGGGTAAAAACAGCCGCGCTGAGAATGAGCCCCGTGTGGTTGGTACGCCCGTGAGGCGCACTGCCTGCGTAACTTTTAAGAGCTGACGGATGACGACCACCTACAGCACGCCGCTCGGCTCCCCGCGGGGGCGGGTTCGCTTCTTAGCGGTTTTAACCGTGGAAGCAGGGGGAGGTCTACGTGCATGTGCACGCGGCACTCTCTGCCAGAGGTCCGGGGACTTTCCCCTAGGCGAAAGTAAGGAACTAGTCCCTCGTGTGTAGCCTAGGAAACAGGCCTTCAGCACGAGCTCTGTGAAGGAGTTCCGCGTTCTAACCTTTTATAGCACTAAGAGGAAATTAAATTTTTGGTTAGGGTGAGGATTTTGGTGGCATGGGAAATAAAAACAACTATCCAGTATATCTTCCTGGTAGGGTTCTGGAGATATTCGGGCTGAACAATACCTAAATAGAGCTAAGAAGTGAACAACTCTTAAATGAACTAAAGAGGGCCCAGAGGCCTATGCAAACCTAGCCCCGCCCACACACCAGGCGGGCGTGGCCTTTCTGGAGACCGGAGGGGGTGGGCGGGGGCGCGCGCGTGCGCGCATGGGTGCGTCCGGCGAAAGGCGGTGCTATCTGGGTTGTGCCGGTTTCGGCCTGCAATGGCGAGGGTGGTGGTGCTCGTGGGTGTGCTGGGGCTGTTACTTGTGTCTGCGCTGCCCGAGGTCCTCGGAGACCGCCCCAGCCCTGAGCACTGGGCACACCCAGGTACCAGCGAGGGCTGCTGGAGGGAGGCTGGGACTGCCCCCGGGTCCCAGGCGCCAGCTTTACTGATCTCCCTCTGCCCTTCTCCTCAGGGGACGCCGCCCAGGTCAGCCTTGGGGCCACGGAACCCCGGCGGCGGTTGCCGCCGCCCAGGGACCAGCGCGAGAGGGCTCAGGCCGGGGCTCTGCCCTTGGGGGCGCTGTACACCGCGGCCGTCGTGGCTTTTGTGCTGTTCAAGTGTTTGCAGGTGCGGGACGACCAGGGGTGGGGATGCCCCGGGCCTGAATCTCCCATGGGGGCGCTGTGGTACCAAGAACGAGACATTTTCCCGTCAGTCTGAAATGAAGACGATTCCCTCGTTTTCCAACATTACGGGGTTATTCTGAACATTCAGCAAGGTAATGGACGTGAAAGGCAATTGGTAAATTGTAGGTAAATAATGACCATCACTTTTAATACTCCCAACAATCCAGAGAAGAGATTTAGTACTTGCTCAAGGTCACCCAAAGCTAGTAACTGGTAGAATTGGGATTTGAACCCAGCAAATGTTCATACTACAATTAAGTGCGATTCCTGGTGAGATTCCAGCCTTGGCACGAGCAGCTGATAACTGTAGCCTAAGTGTTTTTAGAGTTCGAGGTACCAAGCAGTCTCATGTTCTCCTTGGGATAGAGGCCCTGAAATGTGAACTGACAGTACATTTTAGTGGATTGAAACTGTTGAAATGGAAAGTAGTACTTCCCAGGGCTCTCTTCAGCCCTGGCCCTATCACTTACTTACACTGGGAAACAGACGGCTGAACCAGTTTGGAGATGATGTGAAACTAGGAGGGATAGCTAATCATGATCCCTAATAGACTTGACAGGCTACGATGAGAGACTGAATTTAATGATGAAATTTAACAAGGGTAGATTCTATTCTTTTGAATTCTTGGGCTCAAATGTATAGTCTGAAAGGAACACAATTTAGTAGCAGTTATTAGTTGAACTGATAGAAGTTCGGCTGTGTGGTGTGACAACCTACTTCCCAAACCAATGCTAGGAATAAGATACTGTGCCTTATTTTCTAATCGAAACACTCCTCAAGAATTTTTTTCTCTTGAGGACACTGTTTTAAGAGTACAGTACATGCTCAGTAAAGCAACCAGAGAAAAGGTCGAATGAGCACTGACTGAAGAAGATTGGCACTATTAAACCAGACAAGACATAAGGAAAGGGGCAGGAGGTATGACCATTGCCTTCAAATTCATGAGGGGCTGTTAGGGCTATCATGGTGAAAACATGATTTTGGAAGGCTCTGATCAGCACCATGAAAAGATACATGAAGGACTGTTTTTGACTTTGTATATAAAGTAACAGCCAGAGCTTTATAAAACTGGAGAGAGCTGCTCCTTCCCAGAGGTGTTTCCCTAGACTGTCCACATGTGGGGGTTATGGGCATGTTGCTTCCTGTGTTGGGTGAGGAGCTGGACTGGATGTGATTATTATTCTCTGAGGGAAAAACCCACTAAATGCTCTCTACGTGAAATTCTCCTCATACTGCCTTTGGAGACTGAGGCTATAGTGAACCTGGTTGCTGCAGTATTGTCCTTTCCTTGTTCCACAGCAGGGGAAAGATGAGGCTGCTGTTCTCCAAGAGGAGGCATGCAGGAAGGAATCACTGCAGTCAGGTGGGTTTTGCAGAAGTGTGTGCTTGGTGGGGGATGAGGGGACAGCAGAAGGTAAATAACCGTTGCTCTTCTTTTCTCCCTTACCCCTAGAGCAACAGCTGGCCCAGCTGACGCAACAGCTGGCCCAGACAGAGCAACACCTGAATAGTCTGATGGCCCAGCTGGACCCCCTTTTTGAGCGGTAAGGAGGAATGATCCTGTGGCCAGGGGAACTTGTGGTGGGTGGGAGTGGTGGGGGCATCAGTTGGTCAGCTGTGTGGACATATCTGCAGTGTGACGACCTTGGCGGGAGCCCAGCAGGAGCTTCTGCAAGTAAAGCTACAGACCATCCACCAGCTGCTACAAGAGAGCAAGCCAAACAAGGGTGTGGAGGTTCCAGAACCAGGTAAAAGGTTGGGAGGTGAGAGTCTGGTGGAGTTAAAGACAAAGCCTCTGACACTGGAACGTGCCTGATCTTCCCCCTCACAGAGGCCAGCACACCCTTTCCTGAGGATTTATGTATAGAGGAGGATGAGGAAGAGGATGGTGACAGTCAGGCCTGGGAGGAGCCCCTAAACTGGAGCGCAGGGACAAGGAACCTAGCTACTCCTAAGGAAGTGGAGCAGGGGCTAAGGAGAAGATGCAGGAAGGCTGCAGCCAAGGGCCCCAGGCACAGCCCCCACTTGGAAGGAGGGACAGCAGCTGACGGTTTAGTAAAACAAAGTCTGTTCTTGTGACTGGATGCTCCTGTGTGCTTTTTCCATTCCAGCTGGACGGACACACACACACACACCCACCCCTACCCCCACACCCATACTAGGTGCCTAAGAACAACTGGGCCTTCTTGAAAATCTTCCCTTATTAGGACAAAAAGAGGCCGCCTTCCAGTGCTGGAGCCGAGAAGATAGAGGGAGCTCCAGTCCTTTACTTTGTATTCCTGAGGCCACCATCGTGCCAGCCTTCAGGGCACAAAAATCCCTTTCCTCTTATGGCATAGCTGAGAAAGACTTCTCCAAAAGGAAAAGACTTTACTAAAATCCAGTGGGAAAATAAATTATAGAAACTACATACAACATAAAAATAGCCACAGTTGCACAGCTGCAACCGTGATAAATGGCTGTCCACAGACACAGCACCGAGGGTCTCAGTCCCAAATCCCCTCCTCTGAGTTGGAGGGACTGGTTCAGCAGAGGTTCAGTTGGGTCAGACTTGGTGTCCTGATTCTTAAGAGCTGATCAAGTGACCTGGCTGTCTTGGTCCCAGGCAGACACAAAATGACCATGAAGAGTCTGTGTTAGTACTGGAGAAGATTCTTTGTATTCCAGACGCTGACCTAATCCCTGAGGCATCCTGGACTCTGGAATTTGTCAGATTCCTCTAGTTCTTCTGGTTGCTGTGGAGAGATGATAGTTTAGGCAGTGGTATGAGCACTCTGTTCTGACAAAATCACCCGCAGGGTAGCATGGGAGCGAGGGGGACCCAGTCAGATGTAAGACATGAGATAGGCTGGGAACTGCTTGTGGGCCTCATTACAGCACTCTTCCCAAGGGTAGACAGCTTACCTGATGGCCAGAGTCAGACTGTGGTACCAGCCCAACAGCTCCTCCTGGTCTGTGGACATAAGCAGTAGCTTCTCATGTGGAAAGGACAGCTAGGGAGAGACCGCTTCTTAGCACATTGGCTCAGAAAGGTCCAGGCATAAGCTGAAGGCCTTGCTGTTTCCATAGAAGTAATTTAGGGCTAAGGTGAGAACTTAAAACCCCCCAGGGCCAGTATCCTCTCAATGTAGGTGGCTCAGTTCCTATGAGTGGGGCCCAGACCAAGGAGATGAACAGTGCACAGACACCTGAGGTATATTTTGGGCCTCTCCTACCTTACCTAGGGCTGTCGCCTGTTACTTACACTGAGCAGTCCACCACAAGGGCCTCCTGAGTGGCCAAAGACCCTGTGGAGTTGACACTCGGCCATAGGGTAGAGAGCCTGGCAGGCAAAGGTGCCACTCTGCAGCAGGTGCAATGGGGGTCGAGGCTTGGCCATGAGGAGTGCATCAGAGAAGAGGAAGAACATTCGAGGCCGAGGCTCCCCCCGGGGAGGCACCACCAACAGCCAGCCCTGGCGTAGGAACCAGCGACCTGGGGGACGGGAGAGCTGTTATTTTGGTGCAGCTCTAGGACTGTGATCCATGGAAGAGAATGAAAGGGAAGCTGAGGAAATAGAGGGTGTGTGCTGGCAATATAGTGGAAAAGAGGTGAGAAAAGGGCAGTTTGAAGATTGAGGGGGTAGCATGCAGACCACCTGAGATAAGCCTCTTTGCCTGCCGTCCACTGAGCAGAGCCTGGACACGCTGGAGGTGCTGGTTATTCTTCTGTTTCTGACTAATGGTGTGGACTCTCTGAGCAGTCTCACTTATCAGCCGGGCAGCCCCTGGAATAACATCCCGTGCCCCACTCCCAGCACAACTTTGAGTGAATGGTGGTGGTGAAAGACAGGCTATTCCGAAGAGAGCTAGGGTCAGAGTCTAACTTCTTCAAGAGTAGGTGGGGCAATAGGGACATTGTATATATGTTATTGGAAGATAGGGGCATATCAGACATTGTTGGAGGTCAGAACCAGAAAGGGATACAGCAGAGGCAGTCCCCAAGGACTGCTGCAGAGGAACATACTTGTGAGCTGTTCGTGGTCAGGGCTATTAGGACCTGTGTTTTCAGCCAAAGCAACAGCAAGATTCTCATACCTGGAATTAGACAGTTGGGGAGTCTACGAGTGGAAGGAGAGCTGGCAGAATTCCTTCTGCCTGACACACAGATCACCCCCTACACATATTTCAGTTGCAAGGAAAGATCTGCTTGTGGCTATTCCCTTCCCCCACCCCCTTTCATCTGGGACTCAGAACCTGAGTTCACATCACATGGCCCTCCTCCATCCCAGATTGAAGAGTCAGGGGCAGACTGATAATAGTTCATGGAGGCTAGAGCCCAAGATGAAAGTTAATCAACCCAAGGAGGGTGTTGTTGGCAACCTGACTATAAGTTCTTAACTCATCCCCAGAGACAGAAATTCTAAGCTAGGCAAGCCTAGCATCTCCTGTTGCTAGCTGTATTACAGGCCCCTCACTTCAATGTAAGTTCTACAGTTCCAGCTAAGGGCCTGAGGCTGCAGAGCCCAGATACTCCAGAGGGGTCACACTTAGTCTTGCAAAAAAATTTTAGGAGCAACTTGTCTCAGGAGAGACACTGTGGGACAGATCTCATGGAATCCCACAAAGCTGAGAGCAGCAGTCAAACAGAGAAGTTGGCTAAGTCAGGGTGAGTTCACTCACTGCTGGAGCCTCTGCAGAGGCAGAGGGAGGAGGTCTTGGAGTTGAAGGCCCCCAAACTCAGGGCGGCCTTCCTGAAGTTGCACAAACTTCCGGAACCGTTTGTTCTTTAGTTGCTCCTGGAGTGATAAGGAAAGAGTTGGTAGCAGGGAGAGAAGCCACTCCTTGTATTGTATCCTGGGTACATATCCCCAGCCATCAGGAAGCTGTGCTCCTGAGAGAACCCCGTCTCCCTACAGGGATCTTAGCACAGAGCTGGGCACCCACAGGACTCCGTAAGTGCAGGAAGAGTATGAATGAAGTTTGGGTCTCCAGATGAAGAGGGAATGTGTGGAGTTAGAGGGGAAGGACCTGAGGTTATCTTCATGTTACCTGCAGGGTGGTCCGAGACCTCTCAGCGTTGGCAGCATATTGGGTATAGAGCTTCAGGTGGGGGCAGAAGCCCTCCAGACCCTGTCCCCAGCGCCCTCCTTCGAGGTAGGGAAGCAGCTGTCTGCATGAGTTAAGACAATAAAAGAACAGCCCCCAAACTATTCAAGCACCATGTCTTTTAATTCTCAACCCTGCTATGGAGGTAGTGCCTATTATCCCTTTTACAGTTGGAGAGCTGGGGCGGATTAAGGGACTCGGCCAAGACCACAGGTGAGGAAACTGGCAGACTCTCACTGTGAACCTGGGTCTCTCTGAGCTCCGTGCACTGCCAGAGGCCAGGGCTCTCCCTCCTTCTCCCACCCTATGCCGCGTCTACTCACTGACTAGCGCCGTAAATGAGTTCCCAGGGCCCAAATAGGGCCTGGCGCTCTGGTGGTCGCACGGTGCCCTTGGCTCTCAGAATCCCCACGAAGTACTGCGAGAGAAGAGAATACCGGTTTGTAGTCCGCAGGCAGAGGAGGCTAATGCCAAGGCGCTCCCGGAAACTAGAAGTCTGCCTGAGCTCCCTACGTGCAGGCGCACAGGCCAGGGCCCATCACTCCCTGGGGTCCCCGCCCCATACGGGAGGGCGTGCGGGGTCCGCACCGTGGCCACCAGCCCCAGCTGTTCATGGTAGCGCCTCTCAGTCTCCAGCAGCTCCCAGGCGGCGCAGGCGCGTTTCCGCTCCCAACGAGCACGCTGCTCTTGCACCGGGCACCGGGCATCGGGACCTAGGCTCTCCATGCCGGCTTGAGGGTCAACACTTCCGGCCTCAGCCCGCTGGAGATTCAAACCCCAACGGCTCCGGGGGCGGGGCCGCGGCCTGGGAGGAGAGCGCGCCCCCTGGCGTCTGGAGGCTGCGCTCAGGACGGGTATGTTTGAGGTCTTTTCCGTAGGGCCTCTCCCCACCGTCAGGGCTCTGTAGGCGGACGGCGCCTGCCCAGGCAGGGCGGGGTGGGGCTGGTGGGTGGCCCTCCTCTGAGTGGCACAAAGTTGGGGCAGCAGCCTGGACTTTGAGTCAGGAGACTTGGGGGTGCAGACACTGACAGGGCTGCAGTGTCTCATCTGTAGAATTGAGAAAGGGGCAGTAGTTTCGGTACATATTCTGTCCTGAGCCCATGCCATACGCTAGGGTCCAGTCATCCCCAATCCTTTCACTATTAGAAACCCTCATGCGTCACCAGGTTTTAAGTATTTTGGCCCCGGACAAAAGTTTACAGGTTTTAAATGACTAACTTGTTTCCTTCTTTCATACTGATCCCAAACCTGAGAGCCAGTCAGCTTCCCGTCAGCAAGTATCAACAACTAACGTGGTGGCAACTAACATGGTGGTTCGGAATTGCTGTAATTCTGGCCAAAGGCAAAAGCTTGGAGTTAATTAGTCTGTATTATCGTAGGTCTCTTGGGAAACTGGCAGTAGCCCTGGAGGGCAAATTAGCAGTGCTATTTTGTCAGTATGTGAAGTGCCTACTCTTATGGCCTAGCAGTTCTACTTCTAGGAATGCATCCTAAAAAAACTACTATGTGGACAAAAATATATCTACTAGAATTAGGGTGGCAAAAATGTTTGTAACAACAGAAAACTGGAATTCACGTAAATGTCCAGAGGTAGAGAACTGGCTAGGAAAATTATGGTACAGCCATTTCAAGGAATAATATGAAGGCAGTAAAGATAATGTTAAAAAACTATCAAAATGGAAAAATGCATAGTATATTGCTGAAAAGAAAAAAGCAGGCTATAAAGCTGTTTGTATAATATAATCTTATTTAGATATAACATACATATGACTGGAAGTATAAACAACCAAAAGGTAATTGTGGTTTTTAATCTCTGGGTGATGACATCAAAGATAATTCATTCAGCAAATACTTACTAAGTACCAAATCTGTGCCAGGCACTGGATCATTGAGGTTAAAGGGGTGAATGGGATAAACAGGGTAATTTTAAAAATTCCCTTATACTTCTCTGCCTTTCCGAAGTTTTCTGCTTGATTATGCATGAATTACTTTGTAATTAGAAAAAAATGCTATTAATACCCAAAATGTTAGAAACTTTAGACCCCGTTCCTCCACTGTGGACTCCTAGGAATCTGGGCCCCTAGCCAAGAACCAGGGTATTGTCGGGGTTTTGAAGTCCCCTTTAGCTCTCTGACATTCTAAGTATCTGAAGGAAGGAGAAATGCTGAGCTTAGATCACGGAAAAACAACTTGAAGGGCTTGCTGGAGAAAAGAGAGAGTTTGGGTCAGACTGTACCTTGGACAGATCACAAGGAAACTGGCGATACTGTATAGGTAGAGGACTAGTTACACTGTCTCAAGTGAATGTGGGGCAGTCCACACTAAGAGCTCAAGGGTAGAAGGAGACAGATAATCTCATGATAATTGGTATCACCATGAGCCCAGGTGATGGGAACAGAGCACAACTCCTGGGGCGCAGTTGGTGATGGGTGTGTTTGGGTGTCCTGCCAGTGTCTGACTGTGCTCTGCAGGGATGGAAGAGGGGAGGGGAATAAACCCTGCTGTGAGCTCAGGTGGGGAAATCATTCAACTTTTAAGGAAGCGGAGGGCAAAGCTGAGCAAGACATACTGAGGACACTTAGAGACAACTGATTCCCAGGGAACCAAGTCTCCCATAGAGGATGTCAGGCACACCGTACTCTGCCTGGAACTGATTCTACCCTTAACTCTCCCAAAGCCAAAGGAAGGAGGGGCCAGGGAAGAGGATCGATCAGAGGGCAGTCAACCACCTTTCTATCCTTTAATTACCTTCAACCTCTGTTTTCAACTTACTGGATGCTGGAGAAGTCCTAGGGAGTCTGTGAACAATAATCACAGTCAAAATTAAATGCCTCTGATGCGCCAGGTCCTGTGCTGGGCATGGACATGAAATGGTGAACGAGAGAAATATGACCCCTGTCCTTATGAATGCTTATGGTCCCGCATGACAGACATGGTAAGGAGTCACCATGAAGTGAGACACACGTTATAAAGAAAATACAGGCTTCTGTGCATGCAGGAGTGAATGGTCTGCCCCTAGTCTAGGAGTTAGGGAGGTTTCTCAGAGGAAGTGACATGTGAATTGATACCTGAAGGATGAGCAAAACAAAACCTGGCAAGACAGGGCTGGCAGCAGGGGAGAGGTGGGAAAGAGACAAATAGCATGGATAAGACTTGGAGATAAAACACACACACATGGACATTCAATGCATTCAAGAAACGAAGAAGTTTAGTAATACTTGAGCACAGACTGTGATGAGAAAGGAAACTGGAGAGGTAGACAGAGGCAAAACCATGGAGGGAATTTATATCAGGAAGACTATGTCACAATTCAAAGTGGCAGAACAAGATAATTTATTGGCTCATGTGACTGAGAAGTCCAGATGCAAGTGGGCCCTAGGGATCGCTTAATCAAGTCACTAAAAACTGCTTTCTGCCCTTCCATGGTTTCACCTTCACCTTAAGGTAAAACCTTCATCTTGCGGTTACAAGACGGCTGCCCACAGTTCCAGTGGCTGTGTGCTTCCTTATCCATGTCTGGACACAGTGAAAGTGAATTCCCTCAGCTATCAAATACTGAGACACAGAGCTTCCCTCTGACTGGACCCACATAGGCTGAAAACCCATCAAGGAGAACAGGGCAATGTTAGCCTTCTGAAGGCCATGTCAAGTACTATGGACTTTATCCTAAGGGCAATGGGAAGCCATTGAAGGGTCTTAAATAGGGAATGAAATGATATGTGCATTTTAGAGAGATCACCCTGACTAGCTGGACTCAGCAAACACATTAGGGGGCAGGTGCAGTTATCCAAGTGAGAGGTGATGGAAGTGTGAGTTAGGATGAAAAATGTGGATGAAAAGTTTTAAAGGTAGAATCTATAGGGCTTGATGACTTAATGTCAGAGGTGGGAAAAGATAAAAGAAAAGATGGCATCAGGTTTCTGGCTTAGACCACTTGGTGGAGGGTGGAAGAGGTTTTTGGGACAGATGAATTCGGCTTGAGGCCTGTTGAATTTGAGATACTTGTAGGACATCCAAGTGGAGATATCCATTAAGCAGGTGGTTATAGATCTGACATGGTGGAGAGGTCCAACCTGGGGATATGCAGCTTTCATCAACTTACAGAAGCCAGAGAATGGATGAAACTGCCTGCAAAGGGTATGAAGAGGGATACGGGCAGAAGGCATGAGGGTCTCCAACACAAGCTCACTCCTTCTCCTTCTGTGTATCCACTTTACTTCCAAAATATCTGATGGTGTAGTGGGCTAAGTGGTGGCCCGCATAAAGCTATGTCCATGTCCAAACCCCTGGAACCTTTGAATGTGACCTCATTTGTAAAAAGGGTCTTTGCAGATGTAGTTAAATTAAGAATCTTGAGATAAGCTCATCCTGGATTATCTGGTGGGCCCTAAATCCAATGACAAGTGTTCCTATAAGAGACATCCTGTAGAGTGACACAAGGACAGGAGGAAAAGGCCATGTGAAGTAGGGAGCAGAGACTGAAGTTATGCAGCCAGAAGCCCAGGAATGCCTGGAGCCACCAGAAGCTGGAAGAGGCCTTAGAGCCTTCAGAAGGAGCTCTGCCAACACCTTCATCTCAGACTTCTAGCCTCCAGAACTGTGAGAGAATAAATTTCTGCAGTTTTAACCGACCCCTCCCTCCCAGTTTGTGGGTAATTTGCTACAGCAGTCCTAGGAAAGTAATACAGATGGTAAGGTGGGCAGAACTACAGGTGGGCCCCTAGGGCCCCAGAAGGGCTGGGACCTATCTTTGCTTCCAAACCACGTGTGGGTGGTAGGGGCTTGTTCTTCTGCTTCACCAGTAAATAGCTCACTCCTCTGTAGCACTGGGATAAACAGAGACATGGCCCTCGATGTCTGAAGACATAGAGCCTAATGACCAAAGACTTGACCTTTAACAACCAAAGAGAGGTCATGTACCAGGCCTGGGGGTGGGGTGGTGGGGCGGAGTCCTAGTCAATTAGTACTGAGTACACTCTGTCCCAACCTGGGGAGGCTCAGGAAACAAGACTCTGGGAGTTCAAACCTGTTTTAGGGTTTGGCGGACTCCCAGTTGCAAAGGCACGATCCAGGGTCAGAGTCCATGTTCCCCACCCAGACCAGAGACATGGTCACACACAGAGACAGAGAGCTCAAGAAAGAGACAGCACCATGGAGAATAGCATTTTGAAAATCAGGGAGCGGTAACAGAGAGCTGTACCTAGAAGTCAATCTGGACTCTGAAATACTGAGGGAAAGCAGCAGAGGTGGAGGGGAGATGTGTACAGGTAGAAGTGCCACAAAGAAGTGTACACGGAGAGTCTGACAAATCTAAGGAAAAAAGATGGAAACATCCAGAGCATTTGGAAAGCAGGAATATGAAATAAAGTTACAATTGGTTTTGGGGAAAGATCTAGACATACAGACTCCAGACTTCAGTGTGCATGGTGTTTCTGTCCTCTGTGCTTCCCATGACCTCTTCCATCACCACTAGCTTAGTCGTTAGTTACCACATTCAGTTTTGTCCAGGCTCATCCAATTTAGATATTACCATGTACCTTCCATGTCTCAGGATCCAACCAAGGTTCTGACAGCACAGCTGACCATCCAGAGTGCACACTGGATCAGACTGCCATGGATGGCTCACAATTTGGCTCCAGAAATGGCAACCTAGATTGTTAGGCTGACTACCTCCTACGATGACAGCTTGGAGACCAGCTGGTGTCCCTCCATACAAGTTTTGGCATACACATCATTCAAAAGTCCACAAATGACAAATGCTGGAGAGGCTGTGGAGAAAAGGGAACCCTCCTAGACTGCTGGTGGGAATGCAGTTTGGTGCAGCCACTGTGGAAAACAGGATGGAGGTTCCTCAAAAGACTAGGAATAGACTTACCATATGACCCAATAATCCTGCTCCTGGGCATGTATCCAGAAGGAACCATACTTCAAAAAGACACCTGCACCATAATGTTCATAGCAGCACTATTTACAATAGCCAAGACATGGAAACAGCCTAAATGTCCATCAACAGATGACTGGATAAAGAAGATGTGGTATATTTCTACAATGGAATACTATTCAGCCATAAAAACTGACAACATAACACCATTTGCAGCAACATGGATGCTCCCAGAGAATGTCATTCTAACTAAAGCCAGAAAGAGAAAGAAAAATACCATGTAAGATCACTCATAGGTGGAATCTGAAAAAAAAAAAGAACATGAATATAAAACAGAAACAAACTCATAGACATAGAATACAAACTTGTGGTTGCCAAGGGGGCAGGCGGTGGGAAGGGACAGAATGGGATTTCAAAATTTGTAGATACTGAACGGCATATGTAGAATAGATAAACAAGATTATACTGTATAGCACAGGGAAATATATACAAGATCTTGTGGTAGCTAACAGCAGAAAAAAAAAGTGACAGTAAATATATGTATGTTCATGTGTAACTGAAAAACTGTGCTCTACACTGGAATTTGACACAACATTGTAAATGACTATAATTCAATAAAAAAAAGTTTAAAAAAATAAGTTTTGGCATACAGTATGGCAGTCACTCTGACAAGGCAGACAACCGGGGTGCTGTAGAAATGTGCTGTCCTGCTTCTGGAATAACTGTGGTTTGACACACACAGGCCATTAACAGTAAGCTCCCTGAGAGCAGGGGAAGCATCTTAGTCAACATGGTTTTTCTAAAGCCAGTAAAGTGATCTGCAGAGAGAAAGATGATCAATAATAAAAGACTGACTCAATCAATCAAATACTGGACCCTGACCTTATGGAGCTCAAGGCTATTAGAGCAGATAAAATGTCATAAATCAGCTTAATATGACTTGGGTAGTAGGCAGGGTTATTAGGAAGGGCAGGCAAAGAACTGTGCTGGCTCAGAGGCATCAGAAATCTCTTCTTGTGGTGTAGAGTTGGTCAAGCAAGACTTTCTGGAGGAGGTGGCCTTTGAACTAAATCTTGACTAATAGAAGAGATTTAGATAGAGGAGACAGTAAAACTCTTTAACATGGTAGTGGCACAAGTACTGATCCATCAGAGTGGAAGCTGGATGGGGCATTCAAGTGGGGTCCTGGAGCCCCTGCTGTGCCAAGCATTACCTCTTTAAATAAGAGGTCTTGAGGTTAGGAGGGCCCCCAGGGAGAAGCAGGGTAGCAGGAGCACTATGGAGTTAGGGGCTAATTAACAACCAGATTATGGCTATTTCAATATATTTAATTAACCTATACAACCATACTGGTGCACGTACCTACTGAATATTAGCCCCAGACATGAACTCCTGAGATGGCCTTACTCTCTTCTGGTTTGTCAAAGCCACAGGGGCCTTACATGTGAGGCCAGAACAGCAGAGACTACTTTCCAGTTTGATGATGCATCCCTAGGGCCTAGAACAGTGTGCCTGGAGGATTGGAGGAGGCCCGCTAAATGTTTGTTAGGTCAATAGGCAGACTGGAAACCTCAAGCCCATTCTTGGGGTCCTCTCACTCTTCATCTCATTGGACCCACTGTCCCCCTCTAATCCATGCTCCATTCCAGCCCTCACTATAACCTAATATGAGAAGTGGATTCTGTCATTCTCCTGCTCAAAATATTTGGTGCCTCTCCTTTGCGCAGAATACTGTTTCCCCCATTTTTTTTTAACCAGTTGAACTGGTACTTCCTGAAGCCCTTATCAGATTTTGCCTAGTTCTGTATTACTTTCTGAGGCAGAATTCATCTCTCTCCCCCAAATATGATGATAGTTTTTGCCCTCACTCACCAGGCAGCGAGTGCCTCAGAACAAGGACTGTGTCTTATTCATTTCCATTTCTCTAGACCATTAGCCCAACACCTGACATATGGTAGATGCTAAATAAAGAGGAGTGAGAATTAGATGAACAAAGGTGGTCAAAGGTTTGGAGAAAAAAATGAACAGTTTCATTTGGCTACAAAATGAGGGAGAGGAGTAGGACATGAGATGGAAGTTTACTGGGTAAGATTTTGAAGGGACTTGGATGTCAACTAGAGGGAGAAGATGGGTTCATGGAAGACCCTTTGATAGGCAGTCGGAAGCTAATGCAGGTTTCTGAGCAGAGGTGTGATATGATGAATAATCCATTTAGTTTAAACCTGTCAGAGTCTCTTTCACAAATACATGCAGTTTTCCATTCACACTCAAATTTGCCTCCCACCTACCCATCCACCCAGCCACCTCTAGACTACCCCCAGCAGCTTGCCCTACCCCTTTACCTGCTCCCTGTCTGGGCCAGGGAATTATATATGGGCTGCTTCCCCTCTAAGCTAAAGGCGTGGGGGCCTCTGCTGCCCAAGGGCTGGGAAGC